TTGACTCTATTATAGGGAATGGAGTTTCGCACAAAACATTTTGTATTACATGTAAACAATAGTTTCATATAAATTATTAGACAAATAATAAATTTATTTTCTTTCATAATTCTGTTCATAACATAATGAGAAAACAAATTTGAATTTTTATACGAATTTGAAACTAATATTTACTCACATTATACAAAGTATTATATTTTTGCAATACTTAGCAAACACTCGATTCTGTAAATAACTCACTAGAAAATAATTTCAACATTTGTTGTGTTTGTATCGGATATAAGGGAATAGAGAATCAAGAAATTTGTCAATAATTGTCTCTTGAGATACAAATTGTCTCATCATTTCTGATATTGTGGTCAATGCAGCGATAATAACCGCTAGACTGAGGGCTCGGGCACTAAGAAATCATATATTTATATGTTTTTTCATTTGTTGGTCCTTTCATTCAATATATATTTCATTATTTGTGGTCGACTTGAGTAGAGTATTGAATGTTTCCCTCCACTCACTCACTTATTTATATTACTCCTATTTCTTAGCATTTAATGAGTAGTATATGAATAGAGTAACGGAAGGTCTGTGACAGTGAGAGCCAAACATAATAAGAAATATAATAATAAGACATATAATTAGAGACAAAAAAGATTTATATAATATTTTGTTGTTTTATTTTCTCTCATCTCTAGTGCTGTTGTCGTGAGTATTAAATGATACGAATGTGTCAGACGTGAGCGCATATCCACTCTCTTAAGAGGCTCTCAATCACAACCTATTATATCAGCATTTCTTATATATTTTCTCCACTCCTTGCCATTCATTGGGAACCCCTTTATTCGGCACTCAATCCCCAATTCATGTCATTTTCTCTCACATTCTTTCGCTATTAATATTATTAGCCATTTATTGGCATACAGTAGTACAGTATTAGTATTATTAAGAATATTTCAATAGATTCCTAAATTATTTAAGACTTATACTATTGAACATTCATTTCATTGATCATTCACCACAATCATTACTGAACTCGTTTCTGTATTTAATAGCTTATAATCCTATGTATATTTTATTAAATCCAATCACATACTTGCTAGTTAATATTAAAGAAAAGGCATTCATTATAGTAACTTATATATTCTGTCTGTTAACTGTAATACAGTCCAATCATACAGTTTCGTATGCTATTAACAGTTATATTCTCCATGTTAACTTTTAAAATAAAATTTCAATTCAAACCATTATAAAATAGTATTAAGTGTTTTTAAAAATATATTATTTTAAGTTTAATACAAAAAAGAAAATCAAACTCGTAATAACATATAATGTATGGAATAAATATGATTATATAATACAATATTATTCTATGCTATTATTTCTAGTAAATTTATTATTGTATTAATTTTGAAGTTTTGATCAGTACTGAAATTAATTACAAATTAATTAATAAAACAAATCAAAACAAAAGCGGAAAAATGGGAAAAAAGATTCTGGGTACTACTACAATAAAACATTAGTGTAAACGCAACAATGAAAATGTGTTGACATTTATTCAATATTATACACTCTTATCGGATAATATTAATCGCATTTCTATTATTTCTTATAGTGTCCACCAGTATGTGAGTAACTGGTGGAGGGGCTCTCCTTATTGGCGTAACCAATGATACCGCAGGCAATCAGTTCCCCGCAGTTACCGTCCCTCAAACTGGCATAAGTACCTCCCCGTCCGTAGTCATCGGGATTCTTGCAAATACCTACGGATCGGCCGGCAATTGGATTGCTGTCCTCTATAGAAAACCGTTGTTTCACTATTTTGTTAACAAACGCAACTCCCTGGGGATCCGATGTTACACTACCCAGGTCACCCGCGTGACTTTGGGGATAGTTCAAGTTGCCGTGAGTATGGTTACCAGGATTATAATGTCCTCCAAGTGAATGGCAACCATTGGTTATGTCACCATTATTGTATATAGCTATTCCGTACTTATAATTGGGTGCCATACCTAATGCAAATCGTGTGTTAATCCAATAATTATTAAATAAATTTATAAATACTGTACGTGTAATAACTCCGGACACCAGACAAATGTTCTTGTAGATTTCACTTATGAATAGCGTGCCACTTACTTTACCTGTGTTATAGTTTATATTAATATAAATTAATATATTAAAGTGTATTATTCATTAGACTCATACCCTGAATAACAACTACCGCTACAACCATTTTGAACTCTCTCTGTGGATTATAGCCTCCTGGACCTCCCGGACCACCCGGCTGACTATAGTTTGATTGATAAGGCATGGGAGGGGCGTTGTAGGGAAGGTTATGTGCTGAGTATAACATATTTGCGTATTGGTTATACCCTTCGGGACTGAAATAAAATGTATAATTTGCAAACATTTAATAGAAACCTAAATGAATACCTCATGTATTCCGATAGCTCTCCGTAAGGATGCGGTTGAATATATTTGCTGTAATCAATGGGCGGATGAGAGTAGTGGTCAGTGCCGTAATGGTGGGCCTCGATGTAGTTGTTGCCGCCATCATAGATGGGTCCATTAGGTCCGTACGGCACCTGAGGGTTACCCCCATAGATAGGTATCTCTTGATTGCCATGGTAAATGGGAGCATCCCCTCCATAATGTGTCGGACCATTATAATGACCACCATTACCTTGATAATTATTACCGTTTGGCACGTTTCCATAGGGACCTGTCGGTCGGTTCCCATTTCGAGGCGGATTATTTGGCGTATAGGATGGGCTGTTGGAGATATAGGACGGCGTGTTGTTTCGGCCGCTGGGCTGGTATGGGGTCTGCGCTCTGAATGCCGGGCCATTGAGACGGGGAACGGGACCTTTATAGCCGTACATGCTTCTATAGATTTCATATCCTGGATCAGTATAAGGCTTATTACCGTATCGTTGATTACCATGACCTTGACCACCATTTCCATGACCTACCTGTCCACCATAACCACCGCCACCATAAGGTCGTGAAACAGGACGGGGCCTCTGAGCGTAGGTGTTATTAGGGGGCGAGTTATTAGGGTTATACGGGTTATACGAGTTATACGAGTTATGGGGCACATTGTAATTGGGATTCTTTATAAATGAAATACAAATTAAAACTAATTAATATAATGCTATTTAAAGGTAAAGTCTTTCCACTACCAAAACTTCCAACTGTCCGGCACCGGGATATGTGTTGTTATGATGTTTGTCCTGTTTATCCTGTTTATGCTCTTTATTGGGTGCCTTTGTAGTGAACAACTTGTTTGTGTCAAACAAATCGTGGGGGTCTTTGGTCGTGAAGAACGGCTTGAAAAAGGGCTCTTTTGTGGTAAATGTTACTAAAGATAAAGACTTTGAAATTGATTTGAAATTAATTTTCATCTAATATTTACAGTTCAGTTTGTTTTCCTCTTTGATATGCTCTTTAATGTGTTCCTTGTTCAATTTGGTATTATTATTCTTGTTATAATTATTATTATTATAGTTATTATTGTGGGGACCGTTGTTGTAGTTGTTGTTATTGTTATAATTATCGTAATTATGATCGTAATTATCTTCATATTTTTCGGTGGTAGTGATCTTGGGCTTAGGTGTGGTGGTAGCGCCCCATAGGTTCGATAGGTCTATAAGAATATGACACAAATGCTTGTAATTATACAGGACTTGCAATGACTGAATACATACCCACTTGTGATGACAGCGATGTCATGACAGACATGACCGACAAGATTAGCCACAATTTGGTTCCCATATTGTTTTGCTGTGAGTGAGGGCTCACATCAATAGACAACTCACGAAATCAATCGGCAAACCAATGATGATGTGGCAGACGAGTCGAGACTCATATCAATTCATTCAATGAATTTCCATTTAATTATTAATTGACAAAATTTTATGTTTCACTTTGAAATCTAAGCACAATTTCAGTTAAATTTTGCCAATTAATCACAAATTGATTTATGAAAGTTTTATAATTTAGTTCCGGATATTAGATTAGATTATTTGATATGAACATTTTCTTTTATAAAATATTTATATTAATTTTAATAAAGAAAGTATTTATTTCACTAATTGTTTTCTGTAGTTATTGTAAAATTTTAATTATTTTGTTAGTTTATAAATTAACCTTTCAAATTGTAATTCTAAATTAATACTTTTATAAAGTTAAAGTATACTGTATTTCAATACCTCAGCATATTACCATTTTTCATCTAGTTTTAATATACCTACTAGTACAATTATCATTGCAATTTATACATTTGGTTACAATTTTTAAGATTTATTGAAATAATTTATTATAATAAATAAAACTAATTTACATATTTATTAATTATTAAATTGATTTGAAAGTTCTATATTCAATAAAACAGTTTTATTAAATGCTTGTAATATTATATATAATGTTTAATAACACTCTTATCAAAATGATATACAGACTGATCGATCATTTTAAATTTTTATACTTAAAGCTATTTATTTTGAAAATACAATTAAATAACTCTTTATATAAAAACAATTAAACATTTGTAAAAACATTGGTTATTCTATTTTAGACAACTTAATAGACCTGGTTACCAGCATATGAACCGCCACCATAGCCACCACTACCTCCATATCCCGAACCATTATTTCCATATCCCGATCCCATTCCATATCCGGAACCGCTTCCATAGCCAGAGCCTCCCGAATAGCCGGAACCACTGCCATAACCAGATCCCTGGTTGTATCCCGAACCTCCTCCATAGCCTCCGGATTGGTAGTTAGAGCCGCCGCCAGAATAGCCGGTTCCCGGGTTGCTGTAACTTCCACCGCCATATCCACTTCCGCTGTTATAACCTCCACTACCAGAGTAGGAGTTACCTGTAGATCCATCTAAAGTTATAATTCATAGTTTCAACAAAGTTTCAAAACCTATAACCCAATACTACCTCCATAGGTGTTGGACGCACCATAACCGCCCGCGTTATTATAGCCTCCAGATTGGGATCCTCCATAGCCTCCCGAAGGATTGCTATAACCACCAGAATAACCAGTGTTTCCATAACCAGAGCCAGTATTACTATAACCACTACCAGTGTTTCCATAGCCAGTGTTGCTATAGCCACAACCAGTATTTCCGTATCCCGTGTTACCTCCATATGAACCTCCGCTATAGCCTTGTGCTCCTCCATAACCCATATTATTGCTATAGCCCTGTCCACTGCCATAACCAGATCCAGTGTTATAAGAACCACCGCCATAGCCCTGTCCACCGCCATAGCCCTGTCCACCGCCATAGCCCTGTCCACCGCCATAACTCTGTCCAGAACCGTAGCCGCCCTGTGCTCCTCCATAACCACCGGCATTGCCATCATAACCGCCACCGCCTCCATAATTCATTCCTCCGCCATAGCCTCCACTTTGGTAGGAACCGCCGCCATACCCAGATCCCAGGTTATTGGATCCGTATCCGGCATTACCTCCACCATAACCTCCTCCTCCGGCATTGCCGTAAGAGCCTCCGCCACTATAAGAGCCACCATTACCGCCATAACCTCCCGAACCACTATTATAACCGCCGGCGTTGTTATAGCCTGTGTTTTCATAAATGTTACGGGTATTGATCGGTGCCGTATCATTAGATCCCGGCGCTGCCGCTACACACAATTGTGTGCAAGTAATTAGTGAGCAGTTTTTAATTGTACTTGGTCATAATTACCGGCCGATTCGGTGACATTCCGTTTGGCAATTAGGTTCGGAGTGGGTCCGTGGGCTACCTGTGGCTGATTAGGCAGTCCCAGAGATATGTCTGGTTTATTGGATTTATAGCATTAGTGGTCATATATGTGGAGTGAGTATGAGTTACCTAATGAGGCCAATGAGGCCACGACCAGAAAGACGGCCAAATAGTTCCTCATTTTCTTATGTCTTCACAAATCCAAACACCAATTGACTGACCGGTGATGTGGCGAATGTCTTCACTGAATGCCACGATATGTTTGTCGCAAAAATTATAAAACTTTTCAATTTTAAACTCTTATCACTTTAAATATCACATATTTTTGCAAATTAAGCATTTCATTGGTAACGTTAAGTCTACCGGAAATATATAAGTAACTAATACTCTAAATGGTATATAATTTTGATTAAATAAGTGAATTTACAGATATAAGCAATCATGAAATTACATTTTTTTTAACTTTTAAAATTATAGTGTTCTTTCGCATCAATCTATAAAATAAAATATTAATAATTTTCATCTGATTTACAATAATTTTTTAATGTTTCCAAATAACAATAATGTAGTTAATGCTATGGTTATTAAGAATTGTTGCTATGAATGTTTAAATTAATTGTAAACTTAAATAGAAACAAATTGTATTAGATAATAATCTAAATATCAGTAGTTTTAATTTAAATACACAACAAAATATATTTTGAATTTTAATTTCAAGAAATTTTTAATTTTTTATCATCAAAATCTTATTTAACTTTACTGTATATTTTCTGATATATTAAGCAAAATTTATATTTTATGCGGTGTTAAACAACTAATTTAATCTATAATTTGATTTCGAAAAAATCTATCATGAAACTATAGTAAGGCGTGATTCACATATTACGTTCGCACTTGGGGAAGGGGGTTAAGATTTCTCAAAAAATGCAAAAGTAATATGTGAATCACGCATAATCAAAATAAATCTAATAAGAATTTAATATAAAATGTAATATATAAACATATACTGTATATTATATTCGATATTTTATCCCTAAAGGTATTTAATATTAAAATAAGTTAGAAGTAAAAAGTTTTCTCAAGGAAACTTAAATATTTTGTGACTTTAAGGACTTTTAGTTTTGAGTGTAAAATAAAGTAAATTTTTAAATAATTCTTGGAATCACTTCGAAAGCGAAATAAAGATTTGAGAAAAACAAAAAGTTTTCAAATTATATTTGAGAGCATAAGTAATGCAAAAGACATTCATTTCTAAAATAACTTCTTAAGTGAAAGGGAAAGTGAATCCTATTTAGCATTAAATTAAGGCAATATATTGGAGACAATGCTATAGACTGTTAGAAAAAAGTTTTGTTTAAGAATAGGATTTGAATTATTTCCTAATTCATAGAATTTCCATAATTTAAAAGTTAAAAGTTCTTTAAAATTGAATTATTTATTTAATTTATTTTGCCAAATATAAACTAGTCAATTATTTTATTTATTATTGAAAGTAGAATTTTAAAAGCTAAAGATTAATTAAAATATAATTACAGTATTAAATATTTGAATTTCTTTAATTTTATAATTCCGTTATACAATAATTTAACTTTTATTTACCCAAATTATGTATTTCAAATAATATAAAGTTTGCTCAAGGAGTACTATTATTATTATTATTATTTTGGAATTAAATAATATTAGGAAAATATTTCTTTTGTGCCAATTATTTGAGTACAAATTTAAATTCAGCAACAAAAAGAAAATATATATTTATGTATGTTAAAAATTGTATTTAATTTAAGAATTTATTGAATAACAAAAATAAAAAATACTGAATAGTTCTCATATTTTTGCGTAAAGAGTGTCTTATTGAAAATTTGCAAAAGAAATATTTGCGTAACATTATTGTTATAAACATACAAAGTTCTCTCTCTCTCTCTCTCTCTCTCTCTCTTATTAGGCTTAAGATTTATCTGTCATTTTTATGCTATACTTATAGAGTCTATAACAAGGTTTTGTGCTGTCTTTACAATACTATTACAAATAATGGAGAATATGTTATATGTTATCGATTGCAGAGTTAAATATACAATACTTGAGCACAAAAAACCTAATGTATGAGACTTTGAACAAAAACTAAAAATGAATTATTCATTAATCATTTGAGTAACTCTTTCTTAAAGGGATGGCTACATAAATAAAAGAATATTCTTATGTATAAACAGAATATCTTTTTATTTATTATTAGTTTAGCATGAAATAAAGTGAAATGTAATATATATTGACGCAAATAGTAACAAGCTTATTTTGGGGTTTATAAAAGCATATTACAAAATATCTTATTATATAATGCATAATATACGTAGTAAACTTTTGGGAATATAGATAAATTATCATGCATATAAATAGTTAAATATATTTATAAACAAATAAAATAAGTAACAAATTATTAGAAATCATTTATTTTTCATTTTTAAAGCATATATTTTACAAATTTTGGTCAATTGTTATACAAATTCTTATATTTTATAATTTATTTTCTTTATGTGTTATAATTTAATGGATTTATAAGTGAAATGATTTATGAATTTATAGATTTCGCTTTTAATTTGATTACAAGCCTATGGAGTAAATTAAGAAATGTGTAAATATATCTCATTTATAATTCAAATAATAATCAATGAATTGAAATAAACTAATGTATAAACAGAAACCAATTGAATAGTGGGATAAATATATTATGATTTTCATGTATTTATCAAAAGAAAATTATAGTAAATCTGTTATAATCACATAACAAACATTTATAAATCAAGTTTTATTATGTTTTTTATGATAAATAAAAATTGAAAAACTCTGTATTATGTCTATATTTACAATTTCACACATTAATTGTATCAATAAAGAAATTAACTTATATTTATCGCAAATAATCATACACATTGTAAAAGCATTTGAATTAAAAGTTATAACATTTAAAAATCTATAAATTAAATACAAAAAGAAAGTAAAACCTCTCAAGACGTTAGTTATTATAAAGACTTATCTCTTATTAGTATTTATATATCGACTTTCATTATACGGTATAATCGATACACTTTCCATTCATTCAATTAAATATTATTATAATTTCTGAATATAATAATAATATCTTATATTTAA